AAAAATCCAATAATGGCCTTGATAACCAGAATTGGGTTCGGGGGTCGGTTACGTGTAGGGGAGGTATTAAGCACCCCTACAACGCCCTTAATTGGTACCCTATGATGAAGTTAGCATTATAAATGATAATAATATAAATATTAAATCCCCTTTTATTAATAATTATTTACATGCTTGAAATTTAAATTATACAATTAACCTTAAAATGTCTACATGATTATTTTTATTATAACAATATTTATTATAGATAAGAAATAAAAGAGAGAGAAAGAGATTAACTGAAATACCTCTTGAATAAGCTTTATTGAATCTTCAAAATAGGAAGATTTTAGGTGCTTTGTGGCGACCTTTCACACTATAATGTGCCTCACAAAATCTCAAGAAATACAAAAGAGAGAGAAAGAGAAAAAAAAGAGAAATTTTGAGCTCTAAGGAGTCTGGACAAAATTTTGGAGTCTTGAGAACTGTGCCCAAGTTGTCTATTTATAGGCATCAGAAGGGTTTCCAAAACGGCCCGTTCCAAAATCGAAATGGCCAGTTCTGGATCAGAACGTTGTGTGTTAATTTTGTAACTAGAACGACCCATTCTGAAATTCGAACGACCCGTTCCAGAAGTGACATTAACACACAATTGCCTAAACTAGAACGGCCGTTCCAAGCAAGAGATTTTAGGCCATTTTAATAACTCGGAACGGCCCGTTCCAGTTAAGGTTTTTAACCCTTTTTTAGGTGCTTGGAACGGCCCGTTCCAATTTCAGAACGGCCCGTTCTAGCTTAAGATTTTTAGGCTTTTTTCCTGGTTTGGAACGACATGTTCTGGTTTTGGAACAGCTCGTTGCAGACTAGGTTTTTAGGCCTTTTTTTGTGGCTTGGAACGACCCGTTCGAATTTTGGAACAGCCCGTTCTAGGCCACTAAAACCAATGTATTTGGGCTTTATGCCTTCTGATGTTCTGTCCTGTTGTTTGCATGCTTGGGAGCTCCAATTCTTTGATGATAGACGTCGATTTCATAGCTTTTGTTGGTCCGAACGAAATTGGGTGTCTACAAGGAGTTTGACCCATCGAAGAAAAAAAATCAAAGTAGACTCCTCTAGTGGCAAAACAATAAGTTTCTTATCTCCAATATATGTTCGCCAATATCTTGTTTATTAAAATCGATCAAACCAGGTTTCTACCACGAAGAGGTCTGACAAAGGAAAAGAAAAACAAAAGATTTCTTTGATCAAGACTGACAAGGCACCAAAAGTCGAGTAACTTTGAAAGATGCCATGAAGTCTTTTCCCCAAGCTGACGTTATTGTCACTAGTCCTCAAGAGATCTTGAAAGACAGACTTCAAAAGGTAAATGTACACGTAATTTTATATTTCTCAATTTTTTGACTCTCCCTAACTATATAAGCTTTCTTCTTCTAGGATATTAAGGTTATCAATATTTCCTCTTCGCAAGATTTTTCTAAGGATCCTTAACCTCTTCTTGATCAACCTCAAAAGGTAAGTTCCTGTTTTCTTTTCCTTTGACTGATTCACTATCTTTCGATGATTGTGACTATTAAGTACTTTACGTAGCTTGTTACTTCTAAACCGGAGGATGTTATGGGTGTTTCTCAGTTGGAAACCCTCGTTGGCGTCGAAACACCCCACTAGTTCTCTCAAGGTGATGCTCCCTCTTTTGAATTAAAACCTGAAATTCCATTTGGCACAGGTACTTGCCTCCTTCATTGACCCTCGTTTACCTGATTTATTTATTCATACCGCATATATATTTTCATTAATTGTATATAAATTATTTTTCTTTTTTAGGCGAAACAATGGTCATCCCTGAGCTAGCTCAGCCTCTTACACCTTCTTCCAAACTAGATAAAAATGACTTTGGGTCCTCTATGCGACCCCCGACTTTGATTCCTTCTGTTGACTTGGATCTAATTTGCTTTTTTAATGATGACGTCGAAGTAGATAATATTTTGGAGGTGTTGGAAAACTGGACTAGTGGAACCTCGGTCTCGGAGAAAGCTCTTAAGTCTGTTGGCAATTTTCAACCTCTGTTAGAGTCATTCCGCTCAAAAGCTTATGTTGAAGATCTCGACCAGGCATTCCTTATACCCAATTTTAAGGATTGAAGCTCTTTCTTGTTCGAAGGAGGTTTGGCTTCCGTGTTTGTCTTGGTTTTGTTTTATCCACTTCGATCCCCTTTTTATGTATAATGAATCCCAGAAATTCACTTGTTGTGACACTAAAAACACATTTTAGTGGATTCATTTTCAAACCATATTTCCTCATTCTTTTGAAGGATAATTTTAGATGTTGTAAATGATCGCAATTTTGTACGAATTTACCTATCAAGTCATGGAAGATTAAATTCATTACCCTTTGATATGTTACCGCTGCATTTTTTAGACCAAATGGCATTACCACCTATTCATAAGTACCTAAAGCCCCTGGGCATCTAAAAGCAGTTTTTTACACATCGTTAGTGGCAATATACATTTGATTGTAACCGGAATACCCATCTAACAAGCTTAATATTTCATTACTTGCAGCTGCATCGATCATTGTTTTGGCAATAGGAATAGGATATTCGTCCTTAGGTGTAGCCGTATTAAGATCTCGAAAGACGATACACACCCTCATTTTTCTATTCTTCTTGATGACGGGTACAATATTGGATATCCATTTAGCATACCTCGAAGTGCGGATAAACTTGGCTTTCAACAACCTCTCGATTTCTTGTTTAATCTTTTCGATCACTTGCGGAGCAAATCTTTGTCAGCTTTGCTTTACTGGTTTTTTCCCTAGGATCATTGGCAATCTGTGTTCTACTAAAATTCGATCTAGATCGGCTATTTCTTCATACTCCTAGGCAAAACAATCCCTATATTCGCGCAAAACTCATATGATTCCTTCTCTGAGACTTCCCCTCAATAGCTTGCTAATGTATGTGATCTTCTTGTTTTCTATAGTCCCTAGATTGATTTCTTCTAATGGGTCTTAAGCTTCCAATTCAAAGTCATCATTCATCATTTTCTCAAATCCCAAAGGGGAATTATCGAAAACAGAATCGAGCTTTGCTTCTTGTACCTCGGACACTTTCCTTTGTCCATTCTCGACTTTGTCAACTTTTACATCAAGTTCTTTTTCCTGGTTTCACAATTTTTATTTTTTCTTTTGTTTTCTTTTTCTTCGGCTATTACAGCCGTACAATTCGCATCTCCCTTTACATATTTCTTGGTGTCATCAATCATATCTTGACAGCTTCACAATTTTCCTCGGCCTCTTTGGCCATTCGTTCAGCCATATAGGCCGAAATTCGAGTTAAGAAGCTCGAATACTAACTTTGTTGCATCATTCCATCTCTTGAGCCAATCCTACCTCGTCTCGATGCACAATGAATCCCTTTTGAACATTCCAGCAGAAAACCTTCTTAAACCCATCTTCCTCCTCCAAATTTTTAGTACTATGAGCATCGGAGGGGTTGATTTTCGCAAATGCAGTGATTTGTTGATCTGTGAAATACATGCCAGTTTCGTACTCTTATGTTTTAAATATAATTTTTATATTCATAATATTTATCATATATAATTTATTATAAATTTTAATTATATATAATAAATATTTAATTTGTACATTGCATAAATTGAAAATATTAGTTATATTTGTAATTTTTAATGAACAAATTATATTTATAATTAGCATCGACTAATTGATATATAAAATTTTCAAAAAGTAAATTAAATTAATAATAAGCATTGGCCAAGACGACAATTAGAATCAAAACATATATTGATAATTAAGTTAGATTAAGCGTTAGTTTAGCTTATGCAATTGCAAATAATTCTAAAATAAATAAAAATAATAATAAAGATGCAATATTTTGTCGGTTGCCAAATCAACTCTAATTGTGCTGGTTTAATGGCCAACTCTAATTTTTGTAAGTACTTATTACTTTTCTTGTAGTGGATCTTAAACTTGCAAATACACCTATTAAGCCTAATCCGGCCACTAAATGAAAAAACAATTTACATACAATATAGCACAAAAATGCCCCAAAATTATTAACTTAGTGTTCTCAATAACTAATTTAATGAATATATATATATATATATATTATGTTAAGAAATACATTAACAAGAAAATAAATTATATAAAAATATTTAACTTATTGTACGTATTACACTAATATAAACCATAAACGACTATTTCAAGTGTAAAATATTCTAATCCTAATCATCAAGCTTGGCCAACATGTGATTCTAAGCTTCCATTATCTTTGTTATTATATTTACATTACTGAGAATAAAAAAAAATCAATACGTACCAAAAAGAATGAAAAGAAAATTAAGAAATGGTCTAAACTAATACATTTTTTCATCTCTTCAAATATATCAATTTTAATTTGATTTATTTTTATAATCCTTGTATAATGAACAGACTTATAATTTCAGAAACAGATCCGGAATAAAATACTTTACACTAAAATAATTGAAAGCAAAAAGGCTTTAGGAAAGATGACAAGTCATTAAAACACAAACGAGTCTCGGTGAACCACATAAAGTTGAAGAAAAAGACGAGTTAAAAGACAAATTTTGTGGAAATTAATAACAGATAATCGATATGTGGTTCGCAGTGGCACCACGGGGATTCACACTTTGAAAGCTACCCTAATGCATAAACAACATTCAAACAAGGACAACTAAAACAGGCTTTGCCGTATGTATATCTCCATTGCCTGTGATAAATGGGATACCAAAAAGCCAATGATTAGCCATATTTACAAGAAAACTCTTTTATCATAATAAAGAAAGCATCATATCTAGCATTCTCAACATTCTGAACAAGAAAACATCTAGTCTATCTGTTTCGATGGCAAAAACAAGTCACATAGCTATTGTTTCAAGTCCTGGTTTCAGCCACTTGGTCCCTATAATTGAGTTCACCAAGAGACTTATCAAGCTTCACCCAAATTTTCATGTGACATGCATCATTCCTTCACTTGGGCCACCCCCAGAATCCTCCAAATCCTACCTTAAAACTCTTCCTTCAAACATAGACTCCATTTTTCTCCCTCCCATCAACAAAGAACAATTACCCCAAGGAGCAGACCCTGGACTCCTAATTCAACTCACTGTTACTCTTTCTCTGCCCTCAATACACAAGGTCCTGAAATCCTTATCCTCTAAGGCTCCTTTAACTGCGTTGGTGGTAGATGTTTTTGCATATCAAACCTTGGAATTTGCAAAGGAGTTCAACGCTTTGTCCTATTTTTACTGCCCTGGTTCAGCTATGACATTGTCACTAATTTTACACTTGCCAAAACTTGATGAGGAAGTTTCAGGTGAGTACAAGGACCTTAAAGAACCCATAAAGTTACCAGGTTGTGTACCACTCTTGGGGGTTGATCTTCCAGCTCCAACCCAAAACCGATCAAGTGGAACTTACAAGTCTTTTCTTAAACGTGCAAAAGCATTTGCTAAACCTATAGTTGATGGGATTATTATCAACACCTTTTTAGAAATGGAATCAGGTGCTATAAGAGCATTGCAAGAGTTGGGAAATGGAAAGATTAGATTGTATCCAGTGGGACCCATTACACAAAAAGGGTCGAGCAATGAGGCTGATGAGTCTGATAAGTGTTTAAGATGGTTGGACAAGCAGCCACCTTGTTCAGTTTTGTATGTTTCTTTTGGAAGTGGTGGTACACTCTCTCAAGACCAAACCAATGAGCTAGCCTTGGGTTTGGAATTGAGTTGTCAAAGGTTCTTGTGGGTTTTGAGAGCACCAAGTAATTCGTCTAGTGCTGCTTACCTTGAGACTGCAAATGAGGACCCTTTGCATTTCTTACCAAGTGGGTTTTTGGAAAGGACGAAGGATAAAGGTTTGGTTGTGCCTTCATGGGCACCTCAGGTTCAAGTCCTTAGTCACAATTCAGTTGGGGGTTTCCTAAGTCATTGTGGTTGGAACTCAACTTTGGAAAGTGTGCAAGAAGGAGTGCCTCTAATAACATGGCCACTCTTTGCAGAGCAAAAGATGAATGCAGTGCTTTTAGTTGATGGACTTAAAGTGGCATTGAGGCCAAAATTTAACGATGATGGCATAGTTGAAAAGGAAGAAATCGCAAAGGTGATAAAGTGTCTGATGGAAGAGGAAGAAGGTAAAGGAATGCGTGAAAGAATGAGCAATTTAAAAGATTCTGCTGCTAATGCATTGAAAGATGGTTATTCAACACAGACCTTGTTTCAGTTGGCTAACCAATGGGAAAATTTAACTGAGATTTAGGAAAGTAGTTTTACTTAAGTTGTTTGACGTAATTAGTTGTGTTTAGCGTAATTTCCTTCGTTTGTTTTTCTCCATCGGTGACCCAGTTACTGTGATGTCTTTGAGACTCATGACATAGAAAAATTGATGTTGGAAAAGACTACAAATAAAATGGTATTATAGAATGTCCAAGGATAATTTACTATCCTTTGAAACTAATTATCTTTCACTATGTTGAGAATATGAAATAATATATATTATTAGACTTTATTAGAGTATGATAAAATTTCTATAGTCATGACTGCACAAGACGTGTTTTTGAATTAGAAAATGAAGGGTTTTTTATTGAAATTTTTGCTAATAATTTGGATATACTTAAATAGGAACAGCAAATGCCAAGTTAAATCTAGTAAACTGTAGTCTTTACAGCCAAAAGTTCTGGATATATATATATCACTAGTACACAATACACATTTTACGTTGGTTATTAGAGGGGTTTTTTTACGTTAGAAAAACTTTCGACGTAGAAGCGGGAGACGTAAATTTACGTCGGGACGCAAAAATCGACGTAAATTTACGTCGGACATGCCAAGGTCCGACGTAAAAAAGTCATAAAATTTAAAAAAAAAAAAAAATGAGTGCAAGCAGAACGGCCCGTTCTGCTTGATAGACCCAGGCAGTGGGTTCTCCAATCCCGGACTTGGTCACTTCCTTCTCCAGTTTCACAAACACGAAATGCAACACAAACATTATTACGAAAAAAACATCCCAGAAAACACAAACTTGATAGATGATACTACCTCATAGAAAAACAGATGGATGTATGGTTAAACCATTTCCATCAACACGCGAAGAAGAAACCAACGCAACTCCGAAGAAGAAAAACAGAAGAAGGTGAAGATGAGGAGGACAACCACAATTTGAGGAGGAGGCGGAGGGATGAGGAAGAAAAAGCCACAACGCTCTTTATAAGTGATTATGATGAAGAATTTTCCACTATTTGAAATCTATAGTGCGCGCACACCTTCATTTAAGGAGTTATTTACGTCGGACAAAGATGGGTCCGACGTAAATGAGATAATTTACGTCGGACAGCTAAGCAGCCGGCGTAAATTATCTAATTTACGTCGGACCCATCTATGTTCGACATAAATTTCCTCCTCTTTATTTACAGAACTGCCACCGCATTTTTACAACGTCGGGTGTGCTAGTTTCCGACGTAAATGAAGAGACGTAGTAGCTCCTTTTTCCACTAGTGTATAGAGTTTACATAAATACATAGCAACACACTTTAACTACCTAATATGTATGAGTAACTTGTCAAATATCATTACATAGTTGAACACACTCTAATAGGTATAGGTTTTGCACTCAAGTAGACTGACAAACACACCAGCTACAACATAAGTCTTTAGATAAAAATTTACATCACAAAATATTGTTGACATTAGAAATTTTAGCAGCTTCAACACTCCTTGAAATTTTTTATGGACACTCCAAGTAATTCTCTAAGTCTTTCAAATCTTGCTTTTGGAAGAGCTTTAGTTAATATATCAATAACTTGAAGATCAAAACAATAATGAATATGCTAGATCTCATGATTTTTGACAACCTCGTGTATGACATGAAACTTCACTTGAATATTCTTACACTATAAGAAAAATTAGAATTATCTACAGAAGAAATTCGTAAATAAGCATGAAAATTCGTAGGTAATAAGGTCATATAACGTTACCTACGAAAATTTTTTCATAGGTAATGTTACCTATGGAATTTTTCATAGATAACCCATGAAAGTTGTTATCTACAGATAAATTTATTAATGTAACAACCATCATATTTGGCCTCTCAAGGATGTTATTTCATGACACTTTACTTTTTAACGTATTTTGTCCTTACTGCACATTTTTTGGAAAACTTCTCAGAAGGTCACCCATCCCTATATTACTCCAAGTCAAGCACACTTAACTGTGGAGTTCTGATGAGATAAGCTAAAAAAAAAACAAATGCATGTTATCAGTATAAGTTGTACAAATTAATTCATTTAAGTCATCATTGACTATACAGTCTCATACTTATATTATTATTATTATTATTATAATTATTATAATTATTATTTTATTATTATTATTGTTGTTATTATTATTATTATAATTATTATTAGGAAATAAGATTTTTTTTTTGTTTTCTTATACCTCGATTGAATATGTAAGCATTTTTTAAAATTTTTTCTTATTATTATAAACTCAATCTTCAAAAATATAATTACATGATAATTTTTCATAATTTTTTTTATTAATAATAATAATAATAATAATTATTATAATAATAATAATATTATTATTATTATTATTATTATTATTATTATTATTATTATTATTATTATCTATGGAATTTTCCGTAGGTAACTTACCTAAGGAATTTTTCGTAGATAACCCATGAAAGATGTTATGTATGGAGAATTTCGTAGGTAACATTACCTACGAAAAATTCTGTATATAACAACTTTCGTGGTTATCTACGAAAAATTCCGTAAGTAACGTTACATGTGAAATTTTTCGTAGATAACAACTTTCGAGGTTATTATTATTATTATTTACGGAATTTTTCGTAGGTAACTTACCTACGGAATTTTCCGTAGATAACCCACGAAAGTTGTTATCTACGGAAAATTTCATAACTAACGTTACCTACGAAATTTTTTCGTAGATAACAACTTTCGTTGGTTATCTGCGGAAAAAATTTCGTAGATAATATTCCGTAGATAACTAAATATTATCTACGGAAAAAAATGCATAAGTAATATTCCGTAGATAATAACAATTTTTCTTGTAGTGTTAGTCTTTTCATGTTGGACTAGATTTTTTGCAACATCAATTGTTGACTTGTTGTCACAATAAATCTCAGTGGCTTCCAACTAACTGCTCTACTCTTAACTCTAGAAGAATTTTCCTTAACCAAATAACTTAGTTTGTTGCCACTACTCTAGCTATATATTCCACTTTAGTACTGGATTGAGAAACAATTTCTTGCTTCTTTGAGTTCTATGAGAACATCCCAAAACTTAAGGAAAAAACATAACCTGTAATCACTAGTGCAAAAAAGGGTATTTACGTCACCCA